TTGTGTTTGGACATGAATACAATTTGGAGCTGTTTTTGAATTTTTGTGAGTGATTTGAAGTGACAATTTTGAAAGACAACTTTTTGGAGTTTTTTGAAATTTTCGAAAAATTTCAAAATGTAACTTCAAGTGAAAATTGAAATTTTCATGGCAACAATGATTTCGGAAAAAAATAAAAAATAAATCGAAAAAAAGTGAATTATTTTATGACCAAACGGGCCCTTAAAATTTTGGAGTTTTAAGTATTTGTATTAGGGGTGAGACAAACGGACGGGTCGGGTCGGATATGGGACGTGTCGAAAACAGGTAATGAAAAACGGATAAATTATCCGGCCCGACTCATATTTAATACGGATAAAAAAAATGGGTTAACCGGCGGATATCCATGTTTCATGAATATGATCAGATTTAGGAGAATTCTTAGTCTCCCAAACTTGAGAAACCCTCAATAAGAGGTTTTACAAATGTAAAAATTAAACCCATTAGTAATCCATTGGTAATCCATTTTCTAAATGGATAATATGGTTCTTATCCATATTTGACCCGTTTTTAAAAAGTTCATTATCCAACCCATTTTTTAGTGTATAATATGGGTGGTTAACTGTTTTCTTTTAACCATTTTGCCACCACTAATTTGTTATAATAAGATTATATCTCTGTACAGAAAAAGTTTGATGCTGATTTCAAGGAAGCTGAGTGTTACAAGATTGACACAGTAAACAAGAAAGTTCACTGTAAAACAACCCAACAAAGTCATTTGGGTGGTGGCACAGAAGAGTTTACCGTAGATTATGACTATCTGGTGATCGCTATGGGAGCTCGAGCAAATACTTTCAACACCCCAGGTGTTGTGGAGAATGCACACTTTCTGAAGGTAGCTTTACTGAGCAACTGTCTTTACTGAATTAATAAACAACAACAATAACATACCCAGTATATTCCCACATGTGAGGTCTGAGGAGCGTAATATGTACGCAGTCCTCACCCCTACATTGTGAAGGTAGAGGGGTTGCTTCTGGAAGACTCTTTTAATGTGTCAATGAATTGAAGTATACTCGCATTCTAGTCTTCTGCTACTACCTTTAAAGTTATTTGAAGAGCGAGTAATGATATTTCTTTGCAGGAAGTAGAAGATGCTCAGAGAATTCGTAGGAATGTGATAGATTGTTTTGAGAGGGCAAGCATTCCCAGCATAAGTGAAGAGGAGAGAAGGAGAATTCTTCACTTTGTGGTAGTTGGAGGTGGTCCAGCCGGCGTGGAGTTTGCTGCTGAGCTTCATGATTTTGTGAAAGAGGATCTCGCGAAGTTGTATCCTGCCCTTAAACAGTACGCGAGGATAACACTCCTTGAGGCTGGTGATCATATACTGAACATGTAAAACAACATTCTCCACCGTACTACATTATAGCTTGTAACTTGTTTGCTTGCTCAGAGATTATTGTTGGCTTTCACATTTTCAGGTTTGACAAAAGAATTACAGCTTTTGCCGAGGAAAAATTTGCGAGAGATGGTATTCAGCTGAAAACTGGATCAATGGTGGTGAAAGTAAGTGATCGTGAAATATCAACAAAAGAGAGAAGCACCGGACAAACTGTTACAATACCATATGGAATGTGTGTCTGGTCCACTGGTATTGGAACTCGCCCTGTCATTATGGATTTCATGAAGCAAATTGGTCAGGTATGTTCATTTATTACTGCGTATGATTACTGCCAATCTTTTTTCATCGGTTCAAAGATGAACCTCTATTTGTTGTTTGTTGATGGTTTGCAGACAAACAGGCGAGTCTTAGCAACGGATGAATGGCTCCGAGTAGAAGGGTGCAGCGAAATTTATGCTCTAGGTGATTGTGCCACAATAAACCAACGCAAAGTCATGGTACAGTTGACCAATCTTTAGATTGATACTTATATATACTGAATTGGAACAATCTAGCATTATTTCTTGGAACATGAAGTTTCAACTTGTATAATGGTCTTTTCTACTTCAAATCCCTGATTAACTGAAGTATTGCAACTAGTAATCCTTAATATACTAAGCGGACTTAACTATACTTCTCAGTTCCACCCTCACTCTCCCTCATATCTCACTCTCCTTCATATTGGTACAACTTTGAAATTCAAGATCAGGAATTGAACAATATCATGCTCATTTCTGGGACTGAGGCGTAATTGTTATTGTTGTTTTTGTTATATACTTCTTTTCATTTCTAATTCTTATGGTTTCTGAAAAGCTTGGTGACACAATAGAATGACAGTGGATGAAATTTCATTCATCTTTATACAAGTTAAGGAACTACTAAGTTTTTCTAAATATTTAGAATCTATATTTACATAACAGGAAGATATTGGAATCATATTTAGCAAGGCAGACAAGGATAATTCTGGTACCCTAAGAGCAGAAGATTTTAAAGAAGTGATCCATGACATATGTGAGAGGTATCCTCAAGTGGATCTTTATCTGAAGAAAAGGCAGCTGAATAACTTTAATGCTTTACTAAAGAGTTCAGAAGAAGATGCTGAAATAAACATTGAAAAGTTCAAGTCACTACTTGCTGAAGTAGACTCCCAGATGAAAAATCTTCCTGCTACAGCACAGGTAAATATATATAGATTATTTTCTCTTGATATATGCTTCTATAGAGTTCCTCATCTTATGCTTCGGTTTGTTATTTTCTACACTAGGTTGCTGCTCAACAAGGTAGTTACCTTGCTGACTGTTTCAATCGCATGGAAATGTGTGAAGCTAATCCAGAAGGTCCACTAAGATTCCGAGGAACGGGCCGCCATCGCTTCCATCCTTTTAGGTAGGCATGAAACACCATCAACTCTAGCTACTTAAGTGATTAACTCTAGCAAGAATGCTAAGGTATTACAGAAAAATAAACCTCTTGATTATGGGGAATCATATGAACTCCTCTTGCTATAGAGTTGACACTAATGTTTACTCTTTACCTTTTTTCTTATCTTGTGCTTCAATATTTGTTGGTTTTTTACCCCTTCTTTTCCCCTCTCTTACAGGTATAGGCATTTGGGGCAGTTTGCACCATTGGGTGGAGAACAAACTGCAGCTCAACTCCCTGGAGACTGGGTTTCAATAGGTCACAGTACGCAGTGGCTCTGGTATTCAGTATATGCAAGGTAAGAAGTCTGTCACATTACAAAAAAATACTTTTACTCGTACCCAGTGTTTGTACCAAACTAAACAATATATGTGTTATTAATATGTGCTTGGTTTCAAATTTCAGCAAGCTAGTCAGCTGGCGTACAAGGGTGTTGGTGGTATCTGATTGGATAAGGCGTTTCACATTTGGGAGGGATTCTAGCAGAATCTGAAACAGCATTAAACTTATCGACTATACCACAACTTTGATTTGTTGTTCTTTATACTTGCTGTAATTCAGCGCTTCTTACTAGTATAATTCAGAAATTTTGTTAGTATTATATTTCCTGAACCGATTTCCTGCTTCCAAGTAATATTCATCAATATCTATTCGTCTCTTTGGCACTTATCAAGGGCGTAAGGGCATATTATTAGACGCATTAACTCGTTTATTATATCAATGAAATTTTACATGCCTGCAAGTGTTTTTGCACTTCACTAATTAAGCATTTCAAAGATTTCCATCTAAAATAAATTGCATCAAGTGATTGCTACACGCTTCAGCCACTCAATGAATCATGACAATATATAGATAACTAATGAGATACAGAACAAAGAAGGTGAGATTATTTCATACAAGGGTCAGGATGCACATTAAACAATTTTATAAATCTCTGTTTCTTCTGCAAAATGTTTCATGCTTCATGCAGCATAGAATCCCTTTTTCACCATTTACAATTTGCCCTGAACTACCGATGAATGAGGTTACAACATCCAAAAAGATTAATTTGATATTTTCAACACCAATCTTTAACTAGAAGTATTTGTTTCCCTCTCAGATGGGATAGGGGTATAGTAAGAACCAACGGAAGAGAGAAAGCACCTCGAAAAGTTCGTGATATCCATCTCACTAGAGATAAGAAGCTGTGTAGTCAAATCAGAGATCCAATCACCAAAAACATGGGAGAGCCAGCCTATGATGACCGGATGTCTGGTTATGGTTCTTCAAACTTTTGGCCTGTAACAAAAAGGAAATAATTTACAACTTCAGTACACATAGCAGGAATTCAAAACAAGAGGTTGCGCCTAATAGTAGTACTCATAAACTATGAACATCATATTCTATTTTATGAAATACATACCACAACAGATCCATTCTTGTTGAAGATAGCAGCAGCAAGAACATGGAGCAAATCGATGCTCTTTGTAAACATTACAGGTATCCACTACCTCTTTTGAACTGCGAAACTATCTGTTTCTCTGTTGAATATGGTTTGGTCCACAATGATTTGAGATTGATTCCTTCATCTCATTTGAAAAAGCAACAGCCAACTCCAACTTCCCCATCTTCTTTAAATTACTGATCAATGATCTGTAAACATGAATTGATGGACAGATTCCACGGTGCTTTATCTCATTAAAAAGTCTCAGTGATTCCTCAATATTACCAGATTTTCCAAAGCTGTCAATCAGAGCACTATAAGTCCGCAAATCTGGTTCAATTCCTCTCTCACACATCTCCTTGAAAAATACTAAGCATGACTCAAGCCTGCCAACCTTTCGCAATCCAGTAATTAAGGTATTATAAGAAAAAATATCAGGAATTAGATTATCCTCTTTCATGGCCACAAACTCTTTAAGCATTTCATCTATTCTACCACACCGGCCTAAGATTCCCAAAATGGTGTTATATGTAATCACATCAGGTTTGGATTTCAAACTCTTCATCTGATCAAAAATCATCAAGGCCTTATCAACCTGTCCACACTCGGCAAAGGCAAATATGATCCTATTCAAAACTGTAGTAGTAGTAGTAGTACTTGGAAAAATCAACTCAGAGATCTCCCGGACAAATCTTAGCAAGCAGGCAACATCATTTTGCTTGATAAAAGCCTGAGCAAAGATAAGATATGTAGATGAATTCAGAGATTTGCAAGATACTAACAGATCCTTGAAACTTTGACATAGAAGGTCGACGTCGTTTTCCTCGCCTGCAGCTTTCAGAAGGCGATTGTATGCACTGGGGGGAAGGAGGATATTTTTATCATGCAAAGTCTGCAATAGCTTAGCGGCTGCAGATAGATTTCTGTCATTGCAAAACTTATCAACATAAGCAGCACAGAGTTCCTCTCCTGAATTTTGCGAATTAACCATAACCGAAAGGACTTCTGTCAACGCTTCATCGACAAATTCAGCAGGGGATGCTTGGGTTGAGATTGATTGGCAGCTGACGAACAAAATACTAGGAGAAAAAGTTGGCCAATCTAAGAGGGCTCCAACTGGGATGGATTTAATACAATTCTGTATTAGAAATTAGCAGTAAATCACAAGATTAAAAGACAAAAACCATGTAGTTTACCATTAGAAACAGCTAAAGAAAGTGCCCCAAGATACAGGAATGCAAGAGGGAAATGAAGCCTGGTTCAGAATATCTTATCCATTCAATACAAGACAAAGCTGTTCCTTAACAAGGACCGTAGTTAGAAATTACAATCTCACAATTTATTGTTGCATAATAAGTTTTGCAGCCTCAACATCAAATTTCCTGCTAATATCATTTTAACTCATTCCCATTTACCGCTCAACCACCAAAAAACCAAAAAAGGAAAATTTTTAACTAATATCAAATTTCCTGCTAATATCATTTTAACTCATTCCCTTTATAAAATGAGATTTTCATAAATCACATCTCTTATGAAAGGTAAAAAACCGGCATGGTTGGGCCAGCTTGTCTCAAAGTTCACTTCTTTTAACTGGTTACTAATATAATATTACACTCTTCGCGCACTTGCACAAATAGAGCAATCCCTATATATATATATATAACAGCTAATAGAGAAAATGCAAGAAGCATCGAACTGAAGAATTTCCAAAGGGTAAAAGCCTAGAATAAGCATTTACTAGCATTGAGAGATAGAGAAGCTAAAAAAACCAAAAGAATAATACTCACGTTAAGAAAGAAATTTCTACACCGATGCAGTGTATTGAATGGCCGAATTCCTTTCGCAGAGTGTAATCCAACAGAGATACTGTAGTTCAATCGATTGAAACAAGAATGGCATAAGAAAGTTAAAGTGTTCAGCTTTGCTCTGCCACTCAAAGCAGCTGCTACCATCTTTTCTCTGCAGAGATTTCAGGGGTTTATGTAACCCGAACTAGGGTTTTAAGCATTGGGTTGAAGAATTGAAGATTCGATGTCTGTGCAGAAGCGAGGGTGGATTTTGGGGTTGAGCCTAAAACCCCTTTTTTTCTCAGGCTGTGTCGAGACTCAAAAGAGCTCAAAGAAAAACCCTTGTCGCATTTTCGGGTCAGGAGTTTTTGGGGACGACGTGTCTTGCCTCTGATTGTTTAAAAACTTATAGGGATATTACCTATTGGGATATATAGACAGGGGTTTACAAGAAATACGTAAAATAAAAATTTAAAAACCGAACCCAAAAATAAAAAAAGCAACAACATATAGATAAGTAATAATAATAACAATAATAAATAGTAGTAGTAAATAATAAATTATCATTTTATGATATGATAGATTGAGTTATATAATACCTCTCTGCCCATTTTATATGATAGTATTATTTACCTATGTTGAAATTTTCTTAAATTAGGTTAAATATTTGATCCTACCACCCGCAACCATAAATTAGACAAAGGTGTCATGGCTGGTAGATCTTTTTGAAAGCTTTTCTCGTGTGTAAAATTCAAGTTGAAAATTATCTTGAACCTTGTCCGACTTTCCCTTTTCGTGTGCATTTTATTTCTTTTTGTCCTAATCATATTCCTTTCGGCTACCTCCCAATTTTCTATTTACCATTTTATTATTTTTCGTATTTTTTTCTTTATTCTATTATTTATATGTGGTCTCTAACAAGAACACTCAAAAAGGAGACTCCGAAATTATAAAATTCTATAAAATAAGCATTTCTCTTAATCTCAAATTTATGAGTTTTCTTCTTTCATATCCGAAAATTTTTAGTCTTAATGGGAATTTTCGATTGAGATCAAATTTTTTTTATCTTTTTTATTATATCATAAAATTTTGTGTTATTCTATGGTTATTAAATATAATTTAAATAACTTTACAATTAAATTAGGACAAAAATTTCGTAAGCATTGCTTAAAAAATATGAGATTTATGATTTTTATTTTTGAGAACTTGTACTTTATTTAATTCTATACTTGTGGGGTATAATTTATCAATTGAAGATATTTAAAAAAAAATTCTTATTCTGATTGATGTAATTCCCTTATTGAAGAGGTTATCTTACTTGTATAAATTTATTTTTAATATACAAAACAAAGATGTAATTTCTTAGTGAATATTAATTTTACTTGTGTTGTTATAATAAAGGTATGGTTCCTTATTAAAAATGCTAATTACGTCTATTTTTTAATAGCTGAGATGTAATTTTTGTATTTGCAAATTAAAAATACCTATTAAGTTGACCCGAATAAATTCAAAAAAACCGAACAAACATTCCTAACAAATTTCATATTAGTCATTACAAGGTATACATTAAAAGAAATTATGGCACCCGCCACCTTCAAATCCTAGATCCGCCTCTGGTCTTGGCGGTTAATAAGTAGTTGAAAATTTTAATAAGTTTAAATTTCTTTGAAGTTCTGAGTTTGTAAGACTAAAACTGTAGCAAATATTTTCGATGTCCCAAAAAATTTGGGAACAAGAAGAGGAGCATAAATATCATGTAAGGATATTAAGAAGGTTTACACGGTTCTTGACATATTCATTTCTTTAAGATTTTTGGTCGGACAATCAGATTATTTCACACGAAAACCTTAAAGAAATGAAGGCCTCGTGTGAAATAATTCGAGTGTCCAACCAAAAACCTTAAACAAATGAAGGCCTGGATGGGGTCAATGGGCGATCAAGAAGGCTCACGGCCTAGGTTGGTGACTTCCATTGCACTTTGGAAGGGCGCCCGCTAAGATCGGCCCAAGTGGCCGAGCCTACATCATAATTTGTGGCAGCGGGGGTCTGCGTTCGCATGGCCCCTACCCAAAAGAAAAAAAAAACTTTGATAAGTTTGTTCTCACTATCATAAGTTTATATTCAACATATGTGGACCACTCATAAGTCTAGATTCAAGATGTGTGAATCTCAAAAAATTATATTACAAGTGAAGAAGTTTGTTGAGCTATATAATGTCTCAGAAAATTAGATATGCGTGTATAAGGGTGCTGAATTACATAGCTTCCACTTAGATTGTTCAAGCACAGAATATTGGATCAAAAGCTCTTGCTTGATCATGGATCTTAGCATGTGGAATTCCTACACCTAAATGAGTTTCCAGAAAGATTCAAGAACTTTCAAAATTTTCATTGCCTCATTAATAGCTACTGAGGCATTGTTGAACTCAATATTAGATCCAAAAACAGAACAAGAGGCAAAAGATAAGTTTAGTAAAGAGTGAGAAGCGTGTGGAGATTCAATATTCTTCATACAATTTAGAGAAGACAAGCATCTAAGTGTGCAACAAATGACATTATAAGCCAAACTGATGAGAAAGACAACACTTGGTGAGAGTATAAGAAGATTGTAGTTCTAAAAGATCAATAAAAGAACTTTTAATATACTGTAAGCGCAATGCAACACTGAGTTCAGTAGTTTAACAGGTAAATGAAAGAAGTTGAACTATATTAATATGACTGTCATCCTTAAATTAGAGTAACTGTGGAAGTTTGTCCCTTGCAAAGAGACCACATATGTGAACAAAGTCATCATCTTCTAACTTTCCAGGTCAAAGCAAGCTTGATGGAAATAAAAGATTATCATGAATGTATTGCAAAGACATGACTAGCATTCTACTTGCAAGGAATGTAAAAGACATGTGCCTATTTACAGTTCAAAAGAAATGCATGAGATCTATCAAGATATCTATGCAGACTGGGCAGCATAAAGATGCTAGGGAGAGTAAAATTACACCTGCTGAGGCAAAGAAAATTTGAACTTGAAAAATAAAAGGAGCAGTGAAAATAGAAAAGTGCGCAAAGCTAAAATCAATTATAAGATGAACGGTTAGACTATAAGATATTCTTGAATTGCTCAGTGAGCTTTTCAAGAATGGTATGTCAATTGTTTATATAGCATACCAAAAAACGTAACAGAAAAATCTTTTATCAATGAAGTCACAACATTACATACCAAAACAGATAAGAGAATAAAAAGACCTTATATCGATGAAACCACCACCAATAAATAGGGAAGTCTCCAAGGGGAAGGAAAGACAAATCTAGTCTTGGTAAGAACATTGACACCTGAACTATATTAACTTCAGCCCCTATACCTTAAGAAGCTGCGATAAAGTGTAAAGGTGGCATTAGTTACACAAGGATGTATGAGCTGATTAGAAAAGAAAGTAACGAGGGAAGAAGAAGTCACTAAGATGCTTCTTAGTAGGATAAAAAGGTTAGCAGCTTCTTTAGAGGTGGAAAATGCAACTTCCCGTTGGAGTCATTTTTCTCAACTTACGAACTTGATAGCTTTAGATATATCATATGATATTTTAGGACATAAAGTTCGAGAATACAAAAAGGCTTGTTCTCCAACAAGAGGAGAGCAGTGTCTTCCCATGACCCGTTTCTTATGTTCAATTGTGTAACTGGCATCATAGCCAATGATGTCCTCTACTCGGAGAAAAAGCTGGTACCGGAAAACCTTGAATTGAGGTTGAGTAGACTGTTTGGATACTTAATGATTTAAAAGTGTCCTCAGTACACACTCTTAACATATCCAACAAAAGGGGAAGCCGCTGTCAAATTCTACAACAACAACAACAAAAAATCTTGTGTAATCCCACAAGTGGGGTCTGGGGAGGGTAATATGTACGCATACCTTACCCCTGTCTTGTGTGGGTAGAGAGGTTGTTTACGATAGACGCCAGTGTCAAATTCTAATTCTGAAAATTAGTCATATTCTATGAACCTGGAATCCTGATATAAATGAACTAGAAATCTTAAAATCCATTAACTCCCCTCAAGCATGAGATCTCATATTATCATCAAAAGAGAATTATGAAGCACAGAAGTAAGTTTCTTCCGTTATAGATTCTCAGTAATGAAATGCAGCTGACACAACATATAACAAGAAGCAATAGAAATATCCAGCATTTTCCTTAAGTAAAAAAAATAACTTGGACAACATACCGCAAGACAAAACCTTATTCATATTGTACCATACAATGTAATTCAGAAGCTAGAATACCAGTTTGAGGAAGCAAAAGAATGCTTCCCCATTCAATTAAAAGGCAAGAATGAACAAAAATTAAAAGGCAGGATTGAAAATTGAAAGAGCATGAAAAGAGTTAGCAGCTCCCTTTATTACACATTATTCCTCTTCAGCATCTTCCTCTGCAAAACTTAGAACTTGACAGACAGGTGGCTCCTTATCTTCATCACTACTGAAAAACGATTTCTTGCCTATCAACTCTATCATTCTTTTAGCAGGTCCAGAATCCCTAGGAGTCTCATTCACACACCGAGCAATCCTAATTCGCGGAAGCAAATCAGGCTTCACAATAATGCTTAGTGGAGATTTCTCACTCTCTGTGTTTCCATGAACTACAATCTCACTAGGAATTTCCCATCTCTTTTTCACCCTACTTTCAGTACCCAAATTCTTGCTCTCAGTTTGAGACACACGCGTTTTCCCTACAGATAACGACCGTTTCTTATCATTTCTCTTACTCTCATCCTTATCATTTTCAGGTAAAGACCTCTTTCTCACTACTGATGACTGAATTGTACTCTGATTATACCTACTAGCCACAACCCTCCCCGGCCTCTGGGGCTTCTTATTAGCAGCAGCAGACTTTTCGAGATCTTTAAACAACTTCTTTGGCTGAACTGAACTCAAAAGTCCATCATCTTTTTTCAAATTCTTCTTTGATGCAATTGTAGTAACTGCCTGCCTTGTTGTAACCATTGTTCTTGCAGCAGTTTTTCTTGATTTAGGACTAAGGCTTGAACTTTTTCCCTCTTCTTCAATCTCTTGAAGCTTCCAAAAACACGACTTTCGCCTGTTTTGTATTGGCTGAATAGGAGTAATAATCATCTCTTGCTTTCCCAATTGCCGTGCCTTTGTTGTCCCTGCTAGAATATCTGATGGCCCCATACTCAACCCTCGCCGCCGCGTTCCAGTAAAAATCTCAGATGGTCCTAAACTAAGACCCCTTCTCTGCTCCACCTTTGTTCTTGCACTCATTGATATACGCTCTTCAATCTTAATAACACTTTGTTTTGGCTCCATAAACTTTGCTGCCACAACCCTTCCTCGCTTTTCAACAGTCTTAGCAACAGTTTTCTCAGCCTTTTCAATTCTCAAAGCCTCTAATCTTGAACTCAACCTACTAATCTCCATCTGAATTTCTTCAATTTCCTCGTCTATTTTCTTCTCATCACGGAAATCATTTCCCTTTCCGCTCTTTCTAGCCGCCATCTCATCAAGACTCTGTTTGGAATTGGGCTTGTTCGGCTTGAGTCTTGAATTTTCCAGAGCCCCATTAGGGTTAAGTGGCTTTATGGGTAACGGAGATGAGAGATTAACAGATGAATTCTCAAATAAAGGAGTTTGATTTTCCTTACTTGACAAATCAGATTCAAAGGAATCTGATGGCCTAACCGAAAGGGGTTTCAGAGGAGACCAAGAACGTTTCAGCGAAGACAAATCTTCAGAATCTCCATTATCAAATGCTGCATTGTTCCATATCTGAACATCTGCTGGGTCAATCCCTTCTGGGTATTGTAACACACTCATTTTTCTCAATTGGGTTTCAAAAATTTACACAGAAGAAGTGCAAAAAAGATGAATCTAGGAGATTTCTTGATGTAGCGGAAGAGAGAGGGAGATGAGAAAGTTGGTTCTGAATTAGGGAAAATTCTTTCAGGTTTTTGTATTTTCAAGTTTTTGACCGTTGGACAGGGAAATTAAACGTTGGATTGTCCGCTCCATCGTGGCCGTTGGATATAAAACGGCTTTCATTGACGCTCCGATTTTGATTTTAAAGGCTAAATATTGGGTAGAAAACCTTAAGTTCTGATTTAACATCATGCTCACGCTCCTTCTTCCTTTTAGGAATGATAATACGTCCAACGTCGTCAATGTTATAGCTCAATTGTATTGAGCAAAATTCATTTACAATCATTCGGACCAAACTTATAACACCTGGTAGCCCAAAATTATAATATAAATTTTATAGTCTAAAAGTAATTCTAGTGACTAGCCACCGAATTATACATCTAACTCACATGCACAAACACAGGTTCACAGGAGAAATAATTTTCGGCCCAAAATAGTTTAGCCGGAAAACTTCACCGGTCGCAGGAGTGGCCGAAAAATTCACGGTCGCCTGAAAAGCTATATACCGGTCAGATTTGCCGAAATCCAAATAGCAAGCAAACCATCTTTTAGATCTAGATTTTCATAATATCAAAAGCCCAAAAAATAGTAAATAAAATGAGAAGAAAGAGTCGTCGAATTTAATGAGTACTTACAGTATCATGTGTTGCCAGAACACCATATTGTGTAAAAGGGTATGACAGATTGAGACGACAGGGTCCATTGTTTGTCGAAGAAATACTCTTTGATTTCTTTATATTGTACATTGTTGATGAAATGTTCACATTCATGAGCAGTATGACACCTTTGGAGTTTTGATTTATGATGTCAATGTTGTACCTGTCATCTTCCTCAATTCTGTATGTAGCTTCTATACCTTAACCAGTGAGGTTCACATTAATTAAAGGTTGTAGGCAAATCTATTACAACCAACTAGAAACAAAAGAAAGCAAAAGGAATTGTATAGGACTATCACTATACAATTTATATACAATAGACTGTCATTATACAAAATATATACAAAAATAGACTGTCATTATACAAAATATATACAAAAATAGACTGTCATTATATAAAAAAATATACTAAATAGACTGTCACTATACTAAATAGACTGCTACTATATATTTTATATACAATAGACTATCACTATACAAAATATATACAAAATAGACTGTCACTATACAAAATATATACTAAATAGACTGTCACTATACAAAAAATATATAAAATAGACTGTCATTATACAAAATAATTATACAAAATAGACTGTCACTATACAAAAAATATACAAAATAGATATTTCGGGCTATTAAATGTAATATATTTGGGCCGAAGGGTCATTTCATGTCAATGGAAAAAAACGTGAGCTATTAAAATTTTGAGGGGATATAGAAGGTCATTTTCTCTTTAATCAAATTCCAGATGTTAAGGCCGAGTCACAATTTAGTTCTCAGTTAGGCATAATGAAATAAAAAGTTTACCAAATAAGGAGTTTGATAAAATCAAACTCATGCTTATTTTATACGGGAATTGATTCCCCTATTGCTTTTGGCAATAAATTCAACCTTCAACCAAATATACCATTCACCATTTTTAGAGTATGAGTGCCAACAGTTAATATTATATCAATTTTAAAAAATATGTACATAAAATATCTAATTTTGAGGAGAGACCGTGGGTTCACGTGCCCCATATTTTTGCCTATAAATCCGCCCCTGATTCAAATTACGTGAAGTTTGATCAATATTTTAAAATATATTTTTTAATTATATCTACATGAGAAGAATTATAACTTAGAGTACTTTTTATATAATTGTTGAATATCTACATTTCAATGTTAAAATACTAAGTTGAACTAATTCAATTTAGCTTCAAAGATTAGTCAAATTGACTCTGCATAAACGAAATTAATTATCACATATATTGAAATAGAGGGAGTAATATTTTAGACTATCGTCTAATATTTTTCTCATAAGATTTTCAGTTTGCTCAAAAATAATCTTTAGACCTTGGTCTAAAAGGTCCATTAGTTGCAAGAAAAAAACTGTGTGCCTGGCAATTTTTTGATCCGCTTGTTAATGTTCAGTGGCCATTTAAAATAAAGACCCACTTTTTTTTTTATCGTCTTTGCTTTTTTTCGAACATGGTATTTATTGACCTAGAGAAAGCATATGACAAGGTCCTTATGGACGTTCTTTGGAAATGCCTGGAGGTGAAAGGTGTGCCGGTAGCGTACATTAGAGTGATAAATGATATGTAAGATGGAGTTAAGACTCGGGTTAGGACTGTGGGAGGTGACTCACAGCTTTTTTCGGTGTTATGGGGTTACACCAAGGATCTACGCTCAACCCATTTTTATTTTCCCTAGCAATGGACGCCTTAACACACCATATTCAAGGGAGGTATGGAGGCAGGCCCTGGAGTCCAAATGTTTCAAGTTGAGTAGGACTAAGACAGAATATCTGGAGTGTAAGTTTAGCGGCGTGGCAGGAAAAGCGGACATGGAAGTGAGGCTTGGCTCACAAGTCATCTCCAAGAGAGAAAGTTTCAAGTACCTAGGGTCAATTATCCAGGGAGATGGGGAGATCGGGAGGATATCACGCACCGTACTGGGTGGGATGGATGAAATGACAGTTAGCGTCTGGAGTTCTGTGTGACAAGAATGTGCTACCGAAACTTAAAAGTAAGTTCTATAGAGCGGTGGTTAGACCGGTCATGTTGTATGGGGCTGAGTATTTGCCAGTCAAGAATTCACATATCCAGAAGATGAAAGTAGCCGAAATGAGGATGTTGAGATGAATGTGGGGGTATACTAGACTGGATAAGATTAGAAATGAAGATATTCGGGAGAGGGTGGGCGTTGCTCCTATGGACAACAAGATGCGAGAAGCGAGGCTTAGATGGTTCGGGCTCGTACAAAGGAGAAGCCTAGATGCCCCTGTTAGGAGGTGTGAGTGGTTGGCTTTGGCAGGTACGAGAAGAGGTAGATGGTGGCCTAAGAAGTATTGGGGCGAGGTGATCAGGCAGGACATGGCGCAACTTCAGATTTTCAAGGACATGGCTCTTGATAGGAAGGTGTGGAGGTCGAGCATTAGGTTTGTAGGCTAGGGGCAGTCGAGCATTTTTATTCTTTGTACCAGATAGTCTGATATAGTTTTGTTTAGGACGGCTAGCGGTTTATATTGTGTTCATACTATTTTTTGTTTTGCACAGTATTGTGTTATTGCCCTTCCACTTATTTGTTGTTTCTTACGATGCTGATATTATTTTTCTGGTTTCTTTTATTTTTACGGATCTATTCTTTTGTTCTTTTATGATATTATTGTCTCTTCTGTTGAGCAGAGGGTCTCCCGAAAACAACCTAACTCTCTACCTTTCTGGGGTAGGGGTAAGGTCTACATACACTCTACCCTCCCCAGACCCCACTAATGAGATTTTTCTGGGTTGTTATTGTTGTTTGCTTTTTTTTGAACATTAAAATATTGTCCTGGAGTTCGAAACGCTTAAATGTGAAACTCCAGCACACTGGACTTAAATTCAAAACTTTGTACATGAAACTATAATGTAGTGTACTAGATGGAGCATGAATATTTAAGTTTTGTTATAAAATAAAGATAGTAAAGTAAAGACAAGTATAGAGAAAAACTGATATATTATTCAAACTTCAAACTTATGTACATAATGAACTGAATTCTCTTCTATTTATAGAAGAAAGTAAGCTGCTGTGTAAGCTGCTACTGCAAGCTGCCGTGTAAGCTGCTTGTAAGCTGCTACTCTAAGCTGTTGTGCCAGATATAGATAATCTTCTACCATGGGTAATATTTATCCATAACGGAGTACCGAAAGGATAAGCTTCTTTAGGAGGTTTATTTTCAATAGAGTATTAAATAGATAAACATATTTACGGCGGAGTCTCATATGGATAAGCTTCTTCAGGAAGCTTATTTACAACGGAGTACTAAATGAACATCCATAATATAATATATTTATAACACTCCCCCTTGGATATTCATTAAAAGATAATGTGCCTCATTAAAACCTTACTAGGAAAAAACCCCGTGGAAAAAAATCCTAGTGAAGGAAAAAGAGTACACATATTTAGTAATACGCATTGCTAGCTGCCTCATTAAAAATCTTATAAGGAAAACCCTGTGGGAAAAACCTTAGTAAGGAAAAAAGAGTACATCGCGTATTTTACTCCCCCTGATGAAAACCTTGTTTCAAATATTTAAGTCTCCGCATTCCAATCTTGTATACCATCTTCTCAAAAGTTGAAGTTGGTAAAGATTTAGTGAATAAATCTGTCGGATTGTCACTTGAACGGATTTGTTGCACATCAATGTCATCATTTTTTTGAAGATCGTGTGTGTAGAATAATTTTGGTGAAATGTGCTTCGTTCTACCTCCTTTTATATATCCCCCCTTCAATTGGGCTATGCATGCAGCATTGTCTTCATATAAAATTGTGGGTCTTTTCTCACATTCCAAACCATATTTTTCTCGAATAAAATAAATTATTGATCTCAACCGTACGCATTCCCTACTTACTTCATGAATAGCTATTATTTCAGCATGATTTGAAGAAGTAGCAATAATAGATTGCTTTGTGAAGCGCCATGATATGATAGTACCTCCACATATAAAAACATACCTGGTTTGAGATCTAGCTTTATGGGGATCAGATAAATAACCTGCATCTGCATAACCAACAAGATCTGCACTATCTTTGTTAGCATAAAACAAACCCATATCAAGAGTTCTCTTTAAATATCGCAATATATGCTTAATCCCGTTCCAATGTCTCCGTGTAGGAGAAGAACTATATCTTGCTAGTAAATTAATAAAAAATGCTATGTCAGGCCTTGTAGCATTAGCAAGATACATTAGTACACCTATTGCACTGAGATAGGGTACTTCGGGACCAAGGAGTTCCTCATCCTCCTCTGGAGGTCGGAACAAATCTTTATTCACTTCAAGTGATCGAACAACCATTGGTGTACTCAATGGGTGCGCTTTGTCCATGTAAAAGCGTTTTAAGACCCTTTCTGTATAGGCAGATTG